GTGTTGCTGGGGGGGCTGCGCTTGTCACCGTACTTGTTGGCACGGGCACCGTTGGCATCGGGCTTAGCACGGGGAGTGCTGAAGTCGACGTTGAGCTGGCGACCGTCAAGTTCGTACTCGTGCATCTCCTTCTGGGCCTTGGCGGCATCAGCAGCGTTGGCGAACTCGACGTAACCGAAACCCTTAGCACGGCCAGTCTCACGGTCAGTGATGACACGGCAGCCAACGATCTCACCGAAGCCCTCGAACTCGCGGCGGAGCCAGTCCTCATCGATGTTCCAGCTCATGTTGCCAACGAAGAGGTTCTTGACACCCTCCTCAGCGGCGGGCTCCTCAGTCTTGGTCTTCTTGATAGCGGGGGCAGCTGCCTCCTCAGCCTTGCGCTTTTTGGAGGGAGCCTCCTCGCTCTCGGAAGCAGAAGAGTCGTCGGAGTCGGAGTCGGCGTCAGAGTCGTCAGAGGAGTCGTCAGAGTCGGAGGTGGAGGTTGCCTGTCAAAGTTAGTCTACGTCGTGTGAGTTGAAGTGCTAAACTGACCTCAGCCTTAGCGGCAGGCTTCTCGTCCTCAGACTCGCTGCTGTCGGAGTCGCTGTCGGAGTCGCTGGACTCAGCCTTGGCTGCGGCCTTCTTTACGCTATTGGCCTTGGGGGCAGGCTTCTCCTCCTCGCTGCTGTCACTGTCGCTGTCCTCCTCGCTGCTGTCGGACGAGTCAGAATCAGAGTCGGCCTTAGCAGCGGCCTTAGGAGCAGCCTTGGCAGGAGTCTTCTTCTCGACGACCTCCTCCTCGCTGCTGCTCTCAGAGGATTCTTCGCTCTCGCTCTCGCTCTCAGACGAAGAATCAGACTCAGGCTCTGGGGTAGGAGCCTTCTTCGACTTCTTCTTGTCCTTGATGTTGGAAGCAACTGACTTGGCAATGTCCTTGCTCTTCGACTTGGGAGTAGCAGCGGGCTTGGTAACGCGGCCGGCCTTGACGGCGGCGACCTCGGACTTCTTGTCCTTCTTGGACGACTTGTCCGCAACCTTGGTCTTGCCCATTTTGATGATAGGTAACTAGATCTACAACGTATTAGTATTGTGAAACATGCGACGAAAGCGCCAATGATGTGTGGTAGAAAAAGGAAAGAGAGGAGTCGACGGCAATGACGCCGTCGCTCGGGCGCTGACACCCAAAGGTTGTCATGTGCGCCAGCCTGCTTGGTCTGATTGTCTCAAATTGCGAAAAGCCCACTGGTATCTCTCGAGACCACACGAAGCGGATATCCCTCAAGCCCACGGAAAGCCCACAAGAGCCCACAGAAAACCGAGCCTCAAGGCAGCGCGTTCCCGCAAAAGCCGAGAAGCCGGAAGATTAACCCTCATAGTAGCAAAAAGCCCTCAGGATGATCTTGTCGTGCCCTGGCGAGCGACAGACGTGCCCTCTGTAATGTGTGTTAAGGAAAAGCCAAACGTTGCCCACTGACTTGTATATTGATCTGGTACTGGATGTTGCCCTCAGTAGCCCACTTGAGAATCGCGAAAGCCCTCAGTGTATGTTTCGAACGGTAAATGTTCGAAAAGAAATGTGAAGAAGGTTGATGGTAGGTGGTGGTTAGCAAATGGGTGGGAGCGCGCAGTTTATGTAGCAGAAAGATCAGCATCGAACTTTTCAGCGGATCCGGGGTCCGAGTGTTGCGCTAGAGACGCGCTCTCAGAAGTACGCTACAGTCGCCCCACTGCGAACCCATCCAACGGCGACGGCGACGGCGGTATACCCTTGAGGTAAAGACTTAAGGGTCTCTGGATGCTTTTTTTCATTGAGAATGTGGACAAGTCACGGTAAGCCCTTGGTGATAATACTAGGAATTTCGTGGCTGGCAGAATCCATCACCTGATTTGATCTTTCAAACCAGGTAAAATCTTCTATCCACAAGTTCACATTAAGAGTACCCAATAGTCTAAACAGGCAGCGGATACAACAAATCTTAGAGAGTATGTGTACCGAGGCTGTCTACTGGGTTGTCGGGGTCGCACTCAAAGCAGCTTTGTCACGCTTCGGTGTATGCATCTTTTTGGAGCGACACCTAGACCATGTCGACCCGATTGAGACGTGATGTGCATACAAGTAGTTCAATGGAATCAACAGAACCTAAACGGTAAGTTCAGAAAGACACTTTCCAGGCAGAAATTCCTTTGTATGCCGGTGCATTGTCGGACGATGGCTGGGGATAGAACTCTTCGCAGCAGGGCTCAAAATGCAGGGCAGCGGCTAGCTCGGATGCGGTAACGCGTAAATCGATCCGCCACGTTCCTCGAATCCGTCCAGACCCTCTCCAAGCTCACTTGGGTAGCTCCAACATGGCATCTCCAGCAGCTCACAAGCCGCGACGGCGGCGAAAGATTGAAGAAGGCTCTCTCGCCCAGGTCGCTCACGGTACACTCGATCTCGACCAGTCTACCAATGCACGGAAGCCCGCATTCCCTCTCGTCGCGTTCCTCTGGCCAGCGAAAGGCACCGTCTCGCAATGGATCACGATACCCCTCATTCTAATGGTAGTCGGCCTATTCAGATGGACTGTCAGCTTGTGGGGCTACTCTGGATACCAATCACCGCCAATGCACGGTGATTTTGAAGCTCAGCGACATTGGATGGAGATTACAAAACATCTACCCGTGTCGAAATGGTACTTTTACGACTTGCAATGGTGGGGGCTGGATTACCCGCCTCTCACGGCATATCACAGCTGGATCTTGGGCGTCATGTATGTGGAAATATTGTATGTTGAACCTTGGTACTGACCATTGTAGTGGCTCTGCTATCAATCCAAAATGGTTCGCTCTTGATGAGTCGCGAGCTCTCGATGACCCCTCCCTCAAGATATACATGCGAGCCACTGTTTTCGTATCCGAATACCTCATCTGCGTTCCCGCGATAGTCATCTTCCTCCGCCGATATTCGCGACTAGAAGGGGTCAATATCTGGGAGTCGTCAATTGCGCTGGTGGCTATCCTGATGCAACCGGGCACCATATTGATCGACCACGGGCACTTCCAATACAACACCGTCATGCTTGGCTTTGCAGTTGCAACACTTTCGAGCATGATCGCTGGAAGACCACTGTGGGGGTGCGTCTTCTTCGTTGGCGCGCTTGGTTTCAAACAGATGGCCTTGTTCTATGCGCCTGCGGTGTTCGCATACCTGCTGGGCATCTGCCTTTTCCCCAAGACCAACATCGTGCGGTTCCTCGCAATTGCGCTGACAACTGTGGCCGCGTTCACTGTGCTGTACCTCCCATTTCTGATGGGTGTCTCATACGATGTCTATACTGGCTTCAACCACGCTCCCCTCGAATTACCACCACTTTTGAATCTGAGATGGTTCATGACACCATGGGATATGAACGCATGGTACTTTCCCTATGTTCTGGAGATGGGGCAGTCGATTCATCGCATATTCCCCTTCTCTCGGGGACTGTTCGAAGACAAAGTTGCGAACATCTGGTGCACGATCCACACGTTCCATAAGCTCAACCGATACCCGATTGAATTGCTTCAGCGACTCGCGCTACTTGCCACCTCCGCTGCTATCCTTCCGCCGTGCATAATCATCTTTATCAAGCCCAAGAAGCAGCTCCTTCCACTCGCTTTCGCAGCCGTCTCCTGGGGATTCTTTCTCTGCTCATACCAGGTACACGAGAAGAATGTGTTGCTTCCTTTGTTGCCAATGACGCTACTTCTCAGCGGAAAAGACGGCTTACTACCCTCCACTCGCGCGTGGGTCGGTCTTGCGAACATGCTCGGCGTTTGGACCATGTTCCCGTTGCTCAAGAGAGATGATTTGCGAGTCCCATACTTTGTCATCTCACTCTTGTGGGCCTATCTTCTTGGTCTTCCACCAATCTCTTTCACCACCTTCCAGGGAGACAGCCGAAGTGGGCTGAGCATTTTCAACAAGATCCTTCACCTCAATGTCTATGTGGCCATGGTTGCATGGCACATTGCAGAGGCATTCTATCCTCCACCAACTGACAAACCGGATCTCTGGGTTGTGGCGAATGCGATTGTTGGAACAGGCGGCTTCGGCCTTTGCTATCTCTGGTGCTTGTGGCGACTTGTAGTCAAGAGTGAGTTGTTTGGAGGAGTAAAAGACAAGACGCAGTAAAGTTTGGCAGTTGGCAATTATTCGTTGTCGCACTTCAGCACTTATTCAAGATACCCAGGTAGATTTTGGAGGGAAGATTTCGGTTCCCCATTCCTCAAATATTGTACAGCCAATACAGAAAAGCCTCTAGTGCACAACGCCACCCATATGCATTTGTGTTGTACATGTCGTATACACTGACGTTGCCCAGTGTGTTATATCTTGAAGCCATATCCAGCCATACATCTCTTGTAATCGTCGACTAGAGTGAAGCACTCTTTTTGGGGGTCGTTCGATGTGGAGAAGAGCATGCATTCGTCGCGCTTGGCCTTTTGATCGGTGCAGACACCTAAAATGTGGCGCATGAAGTCAGCACATGTCTCGCATACACTTCATATGGGGGCGTCACTCACAGCATGGCTTGACTTTCGCCGGCGCAGCAGTGTCCTTGAGGTCTGAGCCCATGTTGGCGGCGGTTGGTGGTGCTACAATCCCATCAATTAGCCCTTCTGCGTCGCATCAATACCATCGTCTAGCCCAGAAGCTTACCTGAAGACATGCTGGCTGTCTGTGTGGTGGTGGTGAATTGAAGGTGATTAGCAATCCATCGCAAAAGTCGCCGAGCATGTCATCGGCTCAACAGCCACTGATCTTGCCGCACACTCCCGCGGCATACGCCACAGGTATGTGGCATGTGGCTGAGACTAACCCTGCAGGCGACAGGGGTCTAGACAATGAACCAAACCCCACTACGACGCCAAAACAATTGCGACCCACGAGTCACACGCACTATAAACGAGTCCTTTCGCCCCCCCCCTGTTGCTATCTTGTTGTTTACACTTGAGACTATTACTAGTACTACTTGCAAAAAGGGCCTGTGAAGAACATGGTTGGAGCAAAGATCTTCTCGATTGAGGGCAAGGGCCTGAAACTCACCACCGCGGAGGATATTGAGCCACACATCCAGGACCTGAAGAGCAACAACGATGTAGAGGAGATCAAGTTCTTGGGCAACACATTGGGCATCGGAGCCAGTGAGGCTCTTGCTAAGGTCTTGGAGGGCAAGAAGAGTCTACAGGTAATATTTACAACCCCGCTTGGCCGCGATGCGATGTCAAAAAAGGGACTGACCCAATCTCCAGGTCGCAAACCTCGCCGACATCTTCACCTCGCGTCTCCTCTCTGAGATCCCGCCTGCGCTATCGCACCTCCTCACCTCCCTCCTCACCCTGCCAAACCTCCACACCGTCGATCTTTCGGACAACGCGTTTGGCCTCAACACCGTTGCCCCGCTCGTAGACTTCCTGTCGCAACACACCCCACTACGCTACCTCTACCTAAACAACAACGGTCTCGGACCCGCAGCCGGTGTTCTCGTCGCCGATGCACTCACCGCGCTCGCCGCCAAGAAGGAGGCAGCACGGAAGGATGGCAAAGAAGTCCCAGACCTGGAGCTCGTAATCTGCGGTCGCAACCGTCTGGAGAACGGCAGCATGGCCGCATGGGCAAAAGCATATGCCGCCAATAGTGGCGTCAAGACCATCAAGATGACACAGAACGGCATTCGTCAGGAGGGTATCTCACACCTCATCACCAACGGTCTCGCACACCTGTCTAAACTAGACACGCTCGATCTCCAAGACAACACATTCACAGCCATGGGCGCAAATGCCCTGAGCAAAGCCGTCGGAAACTGGACCGAGCTCCGTGAGCTTGGCGTAGGCGACTGTCTCCTCAGCGGACGCGGAGGCGTTGCGCTCGCCGCCGCGCTGGAGAAGGGCAAGAACAAGAAAGTTGAAGTCCTCCGCCTCCAATTCAACGATATCAACGCCAAGGGCCTTGCTGGCCTGGCTTCTGCCTCTTCGTCCGCCCTTCCTGCTCTCCGTCGTGTGGAAATAAATGGCAACAAGTTCGACGAGGAGGACCCTAGTATCGAGAAGCTCCGCGGTGTGCTCGATGAGCGGAAAGAGGCGTCTGGTGAGCACGAGGACGATGAGGAGTACTGGGGTCTGGACGAGCTAGATGAGTTGGAGAGCGAAGACGAAGATGAAGAGGAGAGTGACGCGGAGGAGAAGCGCGGCGATGCTGATGACGACGAGGAGGGTGTCGAGGTCGAGGAGAAGGCTGCGAGACAGATTGTCGAGGATACCAAGGCCGAGGAGAGCAATGTGCCACAGGAGAAGGATAAGAAGGTTGATGATTTGGCGGACCTCATGTCCAAGACGGAAATTAAGTGAGTGGGTTGCATTGGGCGTAAGGATAGTGTTCAGAAACCGACGAGGCCTTATCGTGCATTTAGCGGCTTGGAATGGTCAGTAAAGGTTTCTTTGAGTAGGTTCGTAAGAATTGATACCATGGATGTTTTTTCATGTTTGCTTCACGTTTGCAGAGTAGGAGATGAAACCTGAATACGGGTTTTTGTAAGGAAGAAGGTAGATATGGTTCATTTGGGTGTCCTGCAGACGGCTCAATTATGTATACAGGTTCGTATGCCATTTGACAATATTTCGTTAGAGTCCATCTCTAATACCCCTTCTTTCTCCATCTTCCCAGGTATTTTACCGAGATCCGTGGTCACTCTTACCAAGCCACTCAGTTGGTGTAGCCGCAGCGGGAACAGATCTCGCCGTCTTCTAGCTGAAGGTCATTGCTCTCATCGACACAGTCATGGCCCTTGTTCACGAGATGCTTCTTGCAGGCTTCCTTTTTGCTGTTGTCCAACTCCTCATCAACCTCTTGGATATCCTTGTCGAGTTGGGAATGTTCTTTGCGGTGCTCCGTCCTAGAAGATTTGGAAACGTTACCGAGAGACTCTTGTGCTCTACGCGAGATGAATGACTGCGCAGTGGCACTAAGGCTGCGAGTCCCAGTGTGGCCAAGGGAGCGCACGTCGCGAGAGTGAAGAGTGTCGGTATCAGTATGGCTAACGGTGCCCTTCTCAGTCTTGGGCCTGATAAACGCCTCCGTGTCGCATCCGTTCTCATCCTTGGTATGGCGAAATTGCTCTTCAGGTGAGGTAATGCTCTTGCTATTGGTACGAGAACGTCTGCTGCTGGCGACTGAACCACGCCTTGCTGAAGTGTCGCTCTTCGCAGTGCCGCCGTTAGTACGAACTTCGAGAGAGTGTGGCTTGTCGGTCCCTGATTTGGTTGCAATTTCTGCCTCGGTCTTGGGCCTGATAGCCATATCTGCATGGTGAAACTCGTTCAACCTCTCTTGACAGAATTGCTGCTGAGGCGATGTGAAGTTTCTGCTGTTGGCCCGGGATCGCCCATGGATGGGACTCGAAACGGATCCAGATCCGCTGCTCAGTGACAGTTGACGCTCACGTTTAGCTACGACAGACTGAGCTGCAGCGGCGATACCCCCTTTCTCGGTATGACCATGGGCACGAGCTTCGAGGGAATGGAGATGGTCAGCCTCGGTCTTGGTGACAGTGCCTTGCGCGATTTTGTGTTCGATCTTAGCGATTTCCTCTTGGAGCTCAGCCTCGACTTCGGGATGGGGAGCGTTGGTATGACCGACGGCCTTTTGTAGTTCTGTGGCGTTGTCAGTGTATGTCTCAACACTCAGCTCAAGGCCAGTTGGGTGGGCATGTAGTAGGCTCATGGACTTACTACTAACAATGCTCTGAGCAACACGAAGTATCTCGGTAGTTGCTTCCTCAGAGCTGCCGTCCATAGCGGCATGCAGGTCCTTGGCGGCCATCAGCAGGGAACGATGAGGGGCCTGATCGTGACTGGGTCCCTGATATTGCACACCTTGTTAGCAATAGCTAAGGATTCGACGGCAGAGATAATGCGGACCGCTCTGTCGTCAGGCTTAGCGACGTTCTCAGTCAGAATGCGAGCCTCGTCCGCCGTGATGCTGCCTGGATCCGTCTTCAGCTTCTTCAGTACATACTCCAGTTGGTCCTGAAATCGCTGGGACGATGTGGTGGCATCGCTGCTAACGTCCGAAGTCGTCTTCTCGCTGAGAATGTCGCTCATGATGGCTGATAGAGGTGAGGTTGTAGGTGATGCTTGAGTGAAAGAAGTGGTGGGCTGAAAGTGTAGAGAGAAGAAGTGAGGTAGTAGTGTCTTATATTGGTGGTGACGCCGCTGTATGGAAGCAAAGTACAGGAGCAAACGGTGAGATCAGACGACACTGACAGCAGTTCTTTCCTGGACCAGGTGAAAACCCAAGGCAAATCTCATATCCAACGGAACATTTCCCTGAAGATGAACTAGATGCCGCTTACGAGTTCGCATATTCTGCGATTTGCTCTTTCCATAAGTACCGCAGACAGCTACTGTGACAACGCAAGTGAGTGATGGCACTATAACGTTCGGGTTAGAAAAGGCCAAACGTATGGAGCAAAACAATTTTTAACTTTCAATTAAAATTGTGAGAAATTTACAACATGATGCAGCGTCCTATCAAGCTCGACATGTCTTTGCTCAAGAGGTGATGATTGACCACACAATAAGTGAGGACTAGAAAGGAAGAATGATTTTGCCTACATGCATTACATCTACAAATCATTGCCGTTTGTACTCGCCTCCTTCACCACCAGGGCCCACATCATTGTCCATACCATCCCCAAAATCAGCCTGCTTATCACGCTTCCGTTTGGTTGCTTCCTCATTGTCACCTAAATCGCTTGCTATACCCAACTCCTCACATGCACCGTCCATGACTTTCTCTTTCATGTACGCATCAAATGCATCATCTCCAGCTGCAAAGCTAGATCCTGCCGCCAACCCATCTTCTAGGGAGAGTTTAGGGATCTAGACATCGCTCTGGCTACGATCGCGGACGGGTCATGAATCGTACCCGTAGACAGAATCCTCTTTAGAATCGAAATGGAAATCGGCATTGTCCTGCAAAAGTGATCGGTTCTCCCCTTCGTCGTCATCGGAGATATCTTCTTGATCGATGTCTTCCGGTACTAGTTCGACGGTGTTGAGACTATGCGCCTCGATCACGCTACATTTGCTGATGTGTTTGAACTTCGGATCTTCCTACTGCAATGCAACATCGTCACACAGTTCACTAGCATTTGAGACAATCTCTGTAGCTCCACTGACCTGAATCCATGTCGATGTGCTAATAGTCAGGAGACGTATTGATAAGGATTGATTAGTTTGGGAGGTTGAGGATAAAAGCAAGCAAGGGATCCGAACGAATGCGATGACGGAAGCGGCCCTGAGTAGCGGTGGATGGGTAATATGCCAGCTGATGTGCACAAGTCTAACTTACTTGACAAACTGGGCTTGTTGGTTCGTTGATCCGGATGGCTGCATAGTAAAACGAGTTTGAAGAATGCAGAAGGTTGGTTTGACAACAGTGTCCGCTGCAGTATAGCCGTTGGCAAAAGGTCTTGGTGTTTGTCCGCTGCGCGATGACGCGGCCGCTGCCGAAAAGCCGAAAAGCCAGGATGAATAGCTCACTAGCCCCACCAAAATCCCGCCGTCAAGCCTCAACACCCACCTCTACTGTGTACCTGCACCGATGTCCTGCGCCACATATAGGTTTACTCCGCCAGAATGGTCAGCGCCCAAGATGTCGCGGGTCGCAAGTCAGACACGGGTTCGGATGAGCAAAAGCAAGCCGCGCAGATGATCCAGCGCAACTATCGCGGCTATCGAGAGCGTAGGCAGCTTCAAGGCATGGGCCTAGATGCTAGCGCACGTTGGGCAGAGGTCCGAGACGTTTGCCATACATCAGAAGACATGCAACTAATGGTACCAGGCTATACGTGATGGTCAGCAGTCTACCCCGATATCTACTGCGCCTAAGCTAAACCTCTAAAGCGAAATGGCGTAATGCGACGAGACCCAAGCCGCGCGCGGAAGAGGCGGCTTTGCGCGAGAGCCTCACCACACCCGAGGAACGTTCACGAGCCAACTCGACGGCAGCGCGCGAGAAGTGGAAGCGTGTAGGCGAGATAGCGCGGCGAGCAGGAGCCGACGATCCCTACGATGTCTCGCCCACGGATGACGAGGATGCGCCCGAGAACCACACTGAACAGCGGCGGAAGCAGAACGAGTCAAAGGCCGAGCGTGAGAAGACAGCCAAGATGATGGATCTCCAGTACTTCTTGGAAATGGTTGACCAGAAGCATCGCTATGGCAGTAATCTAAGGGCTTACCACGACCAGTGGAAGAGAGCAGACACGCATGAGAACTTCTTCTACTGGCTAGACAATGGCGAAGGCAGACACTTCGAGCATCCAACTGTCTCCAGAGAGAGGTTGGACACAGAGAGGGTGCGCTATCTATCGCGAGAGGAGCGCCAAAATTACCTGGTTACCATCGACGACGAAGGACGGTTGAGCTGGGCGAAGAACGGCGAACGGCTCAACACATCTATGGATTACAAAGACAGTGTCAATGGTATTGTACCAGCCGACGACGATACCCCCGCCTATGGTCCGAAGGCCAAACTCCACTCTGGACAAAGTAAGACCCTACGACGAAGTTCGATGATTTCGGTGAGCTCAAGCTCGTCAATCTCGGAGAGCGACGCGGAGGCAGAACACTATGTCAATGAGGATCTCGACAAGGCTAAGGGCATCTCGAAACTCAAACATGTGTCAGCCGCGACTATTCTAAATCACCTACTGCGAAGTTCGGTAAAACCGAACTCGTGGATCTTCGTAAGATGTGCTGTACTCCTTGCTCCAGCCAAACGTACTAACCTAGCATAGGTAGCCGACACGTCTTTCCGCCTGTACGTCGGAATCAAGCAATCGGGTGCCTTCCAGCACAGCTCTTTTCTACATGGGGCCCGCATTTCTGCCGCGGGTTTGATCAAAGTCAAGGATGGCCAGCTAAGGCGCCTCTCCCCCCTGTCTGGCCACTACAGACCTCCTACGAAGAACTTTCGTGCATTCGTGCATTCGATGAAGGAGAATGGAGTGGACATGTCCCGCGTCTCCATATCCCGATCGTATGCCGTACTCGTCGGTCTCGAAGCTTATGTCAAGACACGCAAAAAGTTCAAGCATGGAGTTGAGCACGTTAAGGAGGCAGAGACGAAGGTTGTACACCCAGAAGAATATGAACGTCAAATCGAAGAGCAGAAGGACAAGAGCGAAAGCGCACAGAAAGAGCGGCAACTACTTGCGCAAGAGGCGGAAAGGAAAGAGGCAGAGAAGAAGCAGACTAGTTTCGGTCGGCGACTATGGAAAAGGCTTAGTCGAGGCGGTGGTGAGAACGACGACCTGACACCCAAAGAACGAGAGGCCGCCAAGCAGAAGAGGAAGAAGTGGATATCCAAGTCAGGAGAAGACGTCGAAGATGGTATTCCGCCTGATGGGCATCGGGACTCTGCCCCTGCATCATGAGCGGCTGGACGCGAAGCGGGCTACAAAGCGGGCTGCTACTGTTCCTGCATGACCCCATACCTACCTGCCACTTATCTGCCTGTAGCTTATTTTTACGTACCTACGATATACCCATCGTCGATTGACCAAGTATAGCTAGTGAAGTTGAGGTTGTAGAATAAACACCTTCCCTAAGGACTGTAGATCTACCTTGTTCGCGTGGTGTCATTGCTAGATCATCGTGATGGCGCGCGATCAATGTACTTGGATCGAAAACGTTAAATCCAGGAACCAGAAAACAGGTAATGTCTTGACTCGCTCGCTTTCCAAGCCTCCGGACCCCGTTCCGTGCCGCCATCATTCTTACGAACGGCGGCGACTGACATCATACGCGTCGTCACGGACCCAGATTTCCATCTTTCTTTTTTGGTTACGAAATGTGTGTTGCTGTTGCAGCCTGTTATTCGAGCATGACTCGGCAAATTGCGAGATAGGGGTACCTGAGCTGAATTGATCGATCGTGCGTCTGCGCAGAATTGCTTGTGCAGCTGTGGCGCAAACAGAATTATGGGTACGACGGAGGTGTCTGGATCGAGGCCGCTACACAGGTAGTCCTCATCGAGAACACGTTGTGTGTATAGACGGACTTTTGGTGTCAATAGAATCCCCGGACGTTAGCTACCATGGTAATTTAGAGTTCGCCTGCAGCCTATTAGCGGTGCGTGGTGTCACTCGCAATTGGGAAGCGGCCAACGTCCCGACCGTTGCGCTGGAGCCCCGCCGTTCATCGTATCGAGACACGGCGTGGTGGGAGCTCTTCCAGCTCCAGCCAACATAGGAACGTCCGGACGTGATACTTTTCGGATGCTCTGTGCCGAATACCGTCGTTCCTGATCTCCCAGCCGCAGTAACGCAGGGTCTCCTTTCTTTCCCATGCCATGTCGCGCCTCAAGCTCGTGTTGCTCACGATAGTGGTACCGAGGTTTGGTAGCGTGCAGCGATCGGCCGCCAAAAGGGAGCTATAGCTGTGCTAAGCGACGTTTGAGCAGGGGAGCTCCCGACGCTGTGACGTCAGTAGTTCGACAATATCATACGCGTCGCTGCAACCTGCTTGGACACACGGCACGACTTGCTCTTCCATCCTGCTGCATGCACCCTTTTGATAGGAGGGGCATCATTCCCGCCAGGGATCTTGTACCCGATCCACAAGAAAGGCAGCCACAGCGTTGCCGATCGGGCCTGGACTCTGTGTGCTTTTATTTCACCAGCGTACTGCATATTGACTTGCTTCGGGGCATCTACAGCCCGGCATTGGCCTGGTAGAGATGAGGCCAGTCTGCCAAACCTCTCTTCATGCATGCCATTGGTTTACTCTTGCAGTGACTAGAGCCGTCCAGTGCAAAGAGTACCATCGTCAATTTTCTTGGCTAAGGTGTTTCAGCTCCACTTCCTGGGGCAATTCAACTTCTACCCTGGCAGCAGTCCGCTCTCCGCGGTTCATCGACGATGCCAAACCATCCCGTTTCCAGCCACAGGCCGCTCCCACCCCTGCTGCAGCAGCTACCCGCTTTGTCTCACCACGCTGAGTGGAGGCCATTCAACAAGGATGTGCTGACGCCCCGCTCGAGGCTGGAGCTTGTGAGTAGTGTGACGCAATACTCCTCTCGTTCGTTGCACGCAGTATGGCGCCAAAGCAGGTTTACCATGCCTCTCCACAACTGAGGCGCAAGCTCTGGCTCAAGGAGGCCAGTATTCGACGTCATCTGTTCCAGCATGCTCACTGATGAGACGTGGTATCATAAATGCCTGCTTCTCTGTGATCCTTCCAACTTTTCTTTCCATACAAAGACGAACCATTCGTCAATTGATATATGACAGACAATTCATCCTCCCACAACTACTCCTACTACTCTTTCCCCCCAACACCTAATAGGAATTCCCCCCGTTCCACACGCTCTCACTCTATATCAAGCAATAAGTCAGGAAGCAGCCATCACCGCGCTACTTCCTACAGCACATCATCATACACAGTGCATCACGGACACGATAACTCGTATAACGTCTCGAGCGTTCTATACAACAACATGCCTTCCCCAGCAGCAGGAAAGGGTGACACCCCCCGCACCCCTACCAAGCTCGGACGCAAGCCGCAATCATCTGCCCCCAAGTTGAACAAGCCTCAGCAAGGCAAATCGGAGGACGCCCCCACCCCCGATATGCCCGAGCAAGCAGAGGATTTGAAGCAACAAGGACAGGAGAAGGCCGAGGACGCAAAGAACCAAGCGCAAGGCACCGCCGAAGACACCAAGCAGAAGGGTGAGGAAGCTGCCCAAGACACCAAGGGCAAGGCGGAAGAGGCTGCTGAGGATACTACCGGCAAGGTCTCACAAGCTGGTGATGAACTCGAGCAGGCCGACCCCAAGCCAATCGACGACGACAACGACGCCGATGAGGAAGATGACGACGACGCTACACACAAGGCTGGAGACGACGCAGAAGACACCGCCGAGGACACTGCCGAAAACACAGAAGACGATGCAACAGAGACTGCCAGCAAGGCCGCTGACACCGGCAAGCAGGCTGGTGGCGGTGCATTGAGCGGTGCTCGCGGTCTCGCTGGCCGCGCATCGAACCTCGCTGGTAAGGCTAAGCAGGACCCACAAGGAGCTGCTCAAGATGCCGGCAACGACATTCAGGAGGGCGCTCAGGAGACAGCGGAAGATGCGCAGGAAACTGCGGAAGACACCGCTGAGGGCGCTCAAGATACCGCTAAGTCTGCCAAGGACACCGCAGAGTCCAAGGTTGGCGACGCGAAGGACACCGCTGAAGATGCCACTGAGGATGCTCAAGGCACCGCAGAGGACGCAACTGAAGACGTTCAGAGCAAGGCTCAGGATGCTACCGACGACGCCAAGGACGCCGCCGAGGACGCTACCCCCGACCTGAGCCTGCTCAAGGGCCTCGAAGTTGACGAGGATGGCATGATCAAGAATGCGGATGGCAGGACGGTCGGACGTCTCGTTGAGGGTGATGCCGAGGACCTCGCTGGCTACCCCATTGGCGACAACGGAGAGATCCTTGACGACGATGGTGATCTCGTCGGCCGCTGCGAACTCACACCCGAGATGGCCGAGGAGCAGGCCAATGAAGCTGCTGGTGAGGCTGGCGACAAGATGCCCAACATCAGCATCTTGAAGGGTCTTACCGCCGACCGATCTGGTCAAATCCTCAACGAGGATGGCGACTTTGTCGGTCACCTTGTTGAAGGCGACCCATCCGCGATCCAGGGCAAGGAGTTCAATGAGAACGGCGAGATCCTTGACGACGACGGCAACGTCATCGCCAAGGCAGAGCTTTCACCTGAAGCCGCCGACCTCCCTGCTTACCAGCAAGATGACGACGAGGAGGATGAGGAGGACGGTGGTGCCACCGAAGGCGTCACCGATGCTGTTGACGGAGCCAAGTCTACAGCAGAGGAGAAGGCTGCTGATGTTGAGGACGAGCTTCCTGGTGTTGAGGCCCTCGAGGGTATGGAGATCAACACGCAGGGAGAAATCCTCAACGACGACGGCGAAGTCGTTGGCAACGTTGCTGACGGCGATCTCGAGAACATCGAAGACGTCAAGGGTCTCACCGTCAACGACAAGGGCGAGGTTGTTGACAAGGACGGCAACGTTCTCGGCACGGTTGAACTTGCTGAAGGCGCTGCTGACAAGCTCAAGGAGTCCGCCTCCGGTGCTCTCGACACCAGAATCTTGGACGGCCTCAAGGTCAACAAGAAGGGCAAGGTCCTTGATTCTGAAGGTGAGGAGATTGGTGAGCTCAAGGAAGGTGAGCTCAGCGAGTGCGCTGGCAAGAAGCTCAACGATAAGGGTGAAGTCCTCGACAAGGACGGCAATGTCATTGGCAAGGTTGACGTTGTTCCTGGAGAGGCCGCTTTCACCGCCATCAAGGAGCTTAAGGAGCAGCTCGGTGAGCCCCTTGAAGGCGATGAAGAAGATGAGCAAGAAGAGGGAGAGCCTGAGATGAAGGAGATCACCCCTGAGATCGACGAGCTTGAGGGCTTCAAGGTCAACAAGAAGGGTCAAGTTCTCGATGAGGAGGGTGAACCCATTGGTGAGCTCATCGAGGGTGACCCAGCCAAGTGTGCCGGTAAGAAGATCAACGAGAAGGGCGAAGTTATCGACAAAGATGGCAACGTCCTTGGCAAGGTCAAGGCACTGCCCAAGATGGTTGAGGCTTCCGAAGTCCCCGAACCCGAAGTCAAGGAAGTTGAAGTCACACCAGACATCAACGAGCTTGAGGGCCTGAAGGTCAACAAGAAGGGTCAGGTTCTTGACGAGGAGGGCGAACCTATCGGTGAGCTTATCGAAGGTGACGCTAAGGAGTGCGCTGGAAAGAAGATCAACGACAAGGGCGAGGTTCTTGACAAGGACGGAAACGTCATTGGAAAGGTCCAGGCTCTGTCCAGGATGGTCCAGCAGCAAGTTGACGAGGCTGAGGATGCCGCCGAAGACGCTCAAGACGCCGCCGAGGATGCTCAGGATGCTGCCGAAGAAGCTCAAGACGATGGTCGTCCTCCTCTATCCATCCTTGATGGTCTTACCGTCAACAAGTCCGGCAAGCTCGTCGACGCCAACGGCAACATCGTTGGTGAGCTCACTGAAGGTGACGCGAAGAAACTGTCCAAGTCTGGCACCACTTGCGATGCCGAAGGCCAGTTCTGGGACAACAAGGGCAACGTCATTGGCCGCGCCCAGACCATTCCTCAGGAAGAAGGCGAGGAGGAAGCTCCCTTCGCCGGTCTTGATGGCCTTGTTGTGGTCAAGGATGGCTTCGTCGAGGACGACAAGGGCAACCGCGTCGGCCAGGTCGTCGAAGGCGACGCTAAGAAGCTTGTCGGCCGTGCCGTTGACGAGGATGGCGATATCCTTGACAAGAAGGGATCAGTCGTCGGTCACGCCGAGCGCTACGAAGAGCCCGAGGAGGAGGCTCCTGAAGAGGAGCAGCCTGAGGACTTGTCCATCCTTGATGGCAAGACTGTCAACAAGCAAGGCAACGTTATCGGAGATGAGGGTGTGCCAATCGCTCGCCTCGTCGAGGGCAACCCCAAGGAAGTTGCAGGCCGCAAGATCAACGATGAGGGTCTCATCTTTAACGACAAGGGCAAGCAGATTGGCCGCTGCGAGCTTATCCCCGAGAACGAGCGTGAGAGCAAGCCTGAGGGCATCTTCGCTGGTCTCGAGGGTCTCCGCGTCGTTCAAGGCGGCATGGTTGCCGACGAGGATGGCAACACAGTTGGCCAGATTGTTGAGGGCAACCCTAAGCGTCTTGTTGGCATGGCTGTTGACGAGGATGGCGACATTCTTGACAAGTACGGCAACGTCAAGGGCCACGCTGAGCCTCTTGAGGAGGAGGAGGATGAGGAGCCTGCCGACCTTTCGATTCTCGACGGTCTTACCTTGAACAAGCAAGGTTACCTTACCAACAGCGAAGGTATTCCCGTCGGAAAGCTTGTCGAGGGCAATGCTGCCGAGCTCGCTGGACGCAAGTCTGACGGCGATGGTCTCATTCATGGCGACACTGGCAAGGTTGTCGGTCGCTGTGATATCATTCCTCCCAACGAGCGCCCTGAGCGCAAGGAGGGACCATTCGCCGGATTCGAAGGACTTCGTGTTGTCAAGGACGGATTTGTTGAAGACAACGACGGCAACCGTGTTGGCCAGCTTACCGAAGGTGACGCCAAGCGTCTTGTTGGTCACACAGTCGATGAAGACGGTGACATTATCGACAAGTATGGTAATGTTAAGGGTCACGCCGAGCCATGGTCTGAAGAGGAAGAAGAGGAAGTTGACCTCTCCGCCCTTGCTGGCTGCACTGTTAACAAGGCCGGCAACATCGTTGACTCCAGTGGCCAAGTCATTGGTCGCGTTGCTGAGGGTGATCCGGCTACCCTCGCTGGCAAGAAGGTTGATGGTAAGGGCCAGATCTGGGACAACGAAGGTAACGTCATTGGACGTGGTGAGCTTGTCCATGGCGCAGACAACCGACCCGAAGGCCCATTCGCTGGCTTTGACGAGGCAACTGTCGTTAAGGACGGAACTGTCCAGACACCCGCTGGCGACATCATCGGTCGCATCACTGAGGGTGATGTCAAGAAGCTTGTTGGCCACAAGGTCGATGAGGATGGCGACATCAACGACAAGAACGGCAATGTCATCGGCAAGGCTGAGCGCTGGGAGCCCGAGGAGAAGGAGCGTCGCATCAACCCCATGGCTGGCATGCGTGTCAACAAGGAGGGTGAGGTGCGTGACGAGAACGGTGATGTTATGGGTCGCCTCACTGCTGGTGACCTTGGTCACTGCGCTGGCCTTGAGATTGATGACAACGGCTACGTCGTCGACAACGATGGTAACAAGGTCGGTGAGGTTACTCTCTTGGAGAACATCCAGGAAGAGGACGAGGAAGAGACCGACGAAGAGAGGCAACGTCGTGAGGACTCCGAGCTGGCCAAGAAGATGTCCGCCATCTGTGAGGACACTCTTCAGCGCGTCCAGCCTGTCATGAAGCAGATTACTGAGGTATGTTTCATCCCTACTGACTTATATCAAACGCATAGTAACATCTACATAGTACATCGAGCAAGCCGATCGCACACCTCGCGACGAGCTCGACGAAGAGGAGCTTGTCAACAACGTCAAGCCTCTTATCGAGGAGGGTTCTCGCATTCTCAACGACTGCAACGGCTCACTCCGCGGTCTGGACCCCGATGGTCGCATCGCTGCCCAAGCCAAGGGTCGTCAACAGACTGGCGAAGCCTCGCCCGAGGAGTACAAGTTGGCCGACAACCTCAAGGAGCTTACTACCACAGTTGTCACTACCATCGACAACGCGAAGAAGAAGATCTCCGATATGCCTCACGCCAAGAAGAAGCTCAACCCTCTTTGGGCCCTGCTCACTGAGCCCCTCTTCCAGATCATCGCTGCTGTTGGTCTGTTGTTGACGGGTGTACTCAATCTTGTTGGCAAGCTGCTTAACGGTCTGGGTCTCGGTGGCCTCGTCAACGGCTTGCTAGGTGGCCTTGGTATCAACAAGCTGCTTGGTGGCCTTGGACTTGGCGGTCTAGGCGACATGCTTGGAGGCGGCGACGACAAGAAGAAGAAGAAGGGTGCTTCCGGTCCTATGAGCATGGTCGGCGGCTTGCTCGGCAAGAAATAGATGCTTTGACGGTGTCTGAGTAGTTGTGGGGGGAAGATGAAGTAATGTCTGTTCACATCTTTGGTTCGAAAATTGTTTTGCATATGATACCACTACCTTACCTGGTAGTGCTCTGTCATCATGGAAGTTGGCAGGTCTTTGCCTTTTTCCCGTTTGAATGGATTTTGGTCACACAAGAGCTGGAAGATCGGGGGGTCTGAAGGTCGACCTTTTGTCGCCAAAGGAAAAGAAGAGCGGGATGCCGGAAAGGAGCTGTGGGCTTTCCTTGGTGGTGGATGTCACATCCAGGTATGGTCCGATGATGGCATGAATTTTCTTGGCTTGCGTTTTCAAAAATCAGCGTTCTTGTTGTCGTGTTTTCCAACGCATCATCATGCCGCGACTCTTTGAGGCCTCAAGAGCGTACGCGCGCATCTTTGGCTAGACCAGCCGGGTTTTCCTTTGTTGCACATAGTTGAGTTTAGCATTGGCGTTGATTGCAAGGGGACGTTCCTGTTGTATGAATAGTAGGAGTAGGCAGTAATCATTGTTCTTGCTTAATGTTCTCTGCTTCTTTGCTTCGAAGTCCACAGCATTTTTATTCTGACGTGGCTGGTGAATCCCTTGATGCTACATGAGTGATGCTGGCAAATGTCTAAGCTGAAGGCGCCTTACTACCTTTTTCAGGACCGGGCCTTGATCGCTGCCGAACCGCGGGTATAACAGTTTCAACGTGCATTTAGCCAAGCTTTCCAAGATGAGTTGCTCCAGGCACGGGACGACTAGAACATGGAGGAAATGAAATCAGCACATGAATCGTGCACCGAGCCAGCATGTTGGACCCTTTACCTAAGCGATCTCCCCACAGCACTGACCATCTGAACTCTGTTGTACTCCTAGCTTTCCACGCTCTTGTTCCCTTGACGATTCAACTTGTTTTTCTAATCATCCCGCTGAGGCCTGGAACGACTCCAAGAGGACTATACTGGTGACATCACTGCCAAGCAGAACACGGAACCAACAACGAATGAGCATCTTAGACCCTGAGCTATTTTCCCAGAAGCACCTACCGAGCAAACCTTCCTGCACCCCTATGCACCTTTGTTTTTCCTGTACCCGACAATTTGGAAGAAGTTGAGCAGTTGAGCAGTTGCGAGAAGCTACTAGATGTAGATCGATGAGAAATGTCCGATGTTAAGATTCCCAGGCGTGGCGGGTAACTCAAGGCGACTAGAAGTATCGCTCGCTCTGCATTGCGCGACTGCTAACTCAACACGGAGAACGTGGCGCGGATCGAAGAGGTGTCGCCATACCGAAGGACGAAGCGTGCACTACATGTGCGATGCCCAAGCTGGGGGGTTGGGATCCCATGGTTCAAGCTCAACCCCTTGCTCTAGTGCGGGTGTGGCGTTGTGGTTTCTCGATATTACCCGAATGGGAAGGTGCTTGGAAAACATTGGTGTAGTAGTAGACTGCGGGTACAGTACCTACTGAGAGATGACTGGCTGGTCCCGATCTCCGACCGCGGTGGCGGATTCGCGCAAACCTTAACTTCAGCTCGTGGTATCATCGACCACCAACTAACGGGACCGATATTAGAAGCACCCAGTCAGAACACCAAACCAAACACGACGGCAGAACTGGCGGTTTACTAGCATCGCATCCCATCATGATGCCCTACGCTTGCACCTTTCATAACATGGCGCTCATCCGAGATGCGATTGGACAGGGAAGGACCTCGGTGTGCCCCGGCCCTACTCGCGGTCTGTCATGACTTCTAACATTCTGGTACACCACATGCTACACCAAATGTATTGAAGGACTTGTTCGTCCTGGACTCTTCGGAGTGCGAGACGTGCGTAGTAGACTCGCTCTTTAAAGCCCTTGGCCGACGGTCGCGGAAGGCGGGAATCAAACCACACGCTCACTTTAAACTTTACCGCTACACCAAGGCTCAGGCACCAACCTCTAGCTCATAGATGCTATTTGCTCGGAAGGCTAAAGACAATAACCGTAGTCACGTAAGGAAACCTCTATTCATACCACCTTTCGGGCAGGAGCACTCAGCACAAAGTTGGAGTGCATTCCTAACATCTAAAGGCACCAACTCAGGTACATCCGCTGGCTCCGACATGAAACTTGGTCACATAACCCTGGACCTGGATACATAGCTACGCTGCTATTCCTAGGCTGTACCTGTTTCGACATGCCTTACGATCTCACAGTTGCTATCCCGACCCTGGTTGGCAGCTTGCTGTCAGCTGTCGCAACCTCTTGTGTTCTCATCTCGTACATTGTGTACGCTGATCAGCAACGGTCTTTTCGTCACGCACTGGTTCTCAACCTTGCTTTGGCTGGTGAGAGTCCTTGACAAATCACTGAGATATTCAACTGACACGTCACAACAGAATTCATTAATTCGCTAAACAATTCAATATCTGGAATCTATGCGATCGTGAACAGGGGTAATATTGCAGAGGGTCCAGCATGTAGCCTCAATGGTTGGGTAGGTCAGTGGTCTGTTCAGGCTGCCGACTTCTCAATCCTAGCCATCGCTGTCGTAACACTCCTTACGATCACCCGCAAGACTTACATGCCAAACGCCTCCCTTTTGAGCAAGGTTCTCATTTGCGCATCCGTATGGGTTATTCCCACCATCACAGGTAAGCCCATAACAGCACGATCATCAATACAAGGCTGACTCAACCCAACAGCGACTGCAGCCGCGGGACTGGAGGAACTGAAACCTGTTAGCGGCAACTGGTGCTGGATATCCGGAAAACGTACGGATTTACGCTACGCTTTAGGTCACGGTTGGAGATTCAGCATCATCCTCGGAACCATTGGGATCTACATCTACATCTGGGTGTATATGCGACGACACTTCATACAGTTACATAATCTTAGCGGAGGAAGATCTTACGGCCAAGGAAGCTCTCACAAAGCTGCCAAACGCCGCACTTTCCACAGAGATAATGCCATTGAGTTAAGGAGCGAGTCGCAGACGGAGCTGCACGAGATCAATGTCGAGTACCGCTATGAAGTCAAGCATTCTGATGGGAGGAGCGGTGCCAGTCTCGGAAAGGACCTTGACATTGAATCCTCGGTGGGCGACAACAGACGCCCTAGTGAAACCACACTCAGCTCCCCATTGTCACCAGTAAGCCCATACATCAAGGATCCATCAGGTACGTGCATTCCTTTCATTCTTGAAAGCCGTTGTTTATGATAGCTTCTTCGTCTATGATAACCCAGTACTGACACGTACAGCCTTGACCAAAGATTTCCCTCCTGCGGACAGCGTACGAAACGTCGCAATAGCCATGCCCGGAAGCACTGCCAAAGTTGCGATCTCCGGAGCCTACGAGTCCGGAACCACTCCCCAGCGCAATGGAGCCAGTCCTCGGGACCTGGAGCGAGAAATCAAGAGAATGCTACTGCTAAATGCATATCCAGTGCTGTACATTATCTTGTGGTTGCCTGGTATTCTCAATCGCCTGGTGGAAGCTTCAGGTCACTCAAGCTACCCATTGACTGTCCTACAGTGCTCAACACAGTATATCGGTCTGGCGAATGCTATTACATATGGGTTCAATGAGCATTTGAAGACGACAGTTAGACGGGATTTTGTGAAGTGGTACAGAAATAGACGGGGAAGAGCACAATTGTCATCATAACTCGTGAGCTACGATGACTGTACCAGTGTATAATTTTAACGTCACATACTATCTTACCCTGCTTGCAGTGAGCGGTGAGAGTGCGGCCCAACGCGATGAAACCTGGATTTTTCATTACTGCGCTGGCTATATTCGTGAGTTTCTTCGTCTTTTTGACAATCCTCCCACCATTCGACGCGCCACTTTAACGAGGATGGCGAATACGAGGCGAGCCACCGATGTGCGTCCAGCGACTTCATCAATAGACCAAGAAGATCACATGTAGGCGCAAAAACATTAGTACTTCACTTCTTCAATCTAACATCAGCAGTACTTTGCGCAACGCTACCGAGTCTCCACTTCTGCGCCTTCCAGCTGAGCTAAGGAATCAGATTTATGAGTACGTATCTTTTATCGTAAGGCTTGAATACAGAAAATGTGCTAACATATTATGCTTTTGGCAGATATGCGCTCGCCGTCGAAGTTTGGTACGACGGCAGCTATATTTACCATGTTCCAGTTTACAGTCGCCGGGATGAACTTCAACTCCTCAGTCCGTTGCGCCTGTGCCGTCAGATTCAGCATGAAGCGGCCTCGCTACTTCATTCACTCCTTATCCTCGCAATCAGAAATTCATGGTTAGGGTCAGGAAATCCGGAAACGATGTAGACATGTATTTCAGGCGTTAAACAGGGCAAAAGATGCCCACTAGCAGTCTTGGTAGAGAGAGGAAATGGAGTGAAAGGCAATATGGGCCAGTGCCACAAACCAGGCGATACATTTACATGGACCTCAAATTCAACTGCTCTTGATAATTGAATATTAGACCAATCATATTACCGTGCCAGCGAACGGTAGCCCAAACGCTCTCTCACTTCTCTGACTATTCTCGGCTTCACCTAGACTTGGGTCCAAGCTCTCGCTCACTTGCCAACTATTTCAATCGAAACCACAACACAACTCACTCTGAACAATAACAACAGAAACAAAAACTACCGATAGGACGTCTGTCAAGATGACTCAAGAGACAGAGACCAAGGCAGCGCACGCGCGAATGTACGTAGTTCAAATGCAATGAGTAAGTGCGGTGAAGGCAACAGCTAAACTTTGAATAGCACGGCTGCGAACCAGCGCAATTCTCCTCTTCTACGACTGCCAGCCGAGCTCCGGAACCGAGTCTACGAGTATGCGCTGGGAGGCCATGAGATCCGGTTGACAACGCCCACCTGGATGACAACGCCCATCCCGGAGACCAAAACCAAGATATACCTGTATCGATGGGGAGTTGTACCAGCTTTTACATTGCTGAAAGTATGCTCCCAAATTTACGCCGAGGCAGCGCTTCTCCCATACAGCCTTAAAACTTTCTTTTTTGATGGAACTCTCAGTCTTGATCTTTTTGTAAAAGAATTCCCTATATCAGCCACACAAGCCATTAGAAGACTGACGCTCAATTATTGGACCGAAATGGGTTTGTTCAGAACTTTCGCCCGGAATGTCGTTCCATTCCAAGGCCTTCAGGAAATTGGATTTGAACGTCCAGCGATATCCGAGCTCCTAGATTACTGTTCAGAGGGAGAGGAAGCTAAGCTTTCGAATGAGTTGACGGAGCTGCAGGCTGAGATGCCTAATCTCAAAGTCTTTGTGCGTTAAAAGCTTCATGGTGAGTGGGGAAAAGCATAGCTCACTGTTTGAGGATGATAGACGGGCAGTCTTACTGGCATCGGCAAGAAACAGCATAAGCTGAAATCAGGATTCCTGACATCAACTATGTATTATATCTCAATGCAACTACAGAAAAGGAAACCGCAAGTGACTATTCTGCTCTCAATCTCTTAGTGAGTCAACAACGTTCTACTTGCAACCCACCTACATCACGACACAGCATGTCCCACGTTATCGTTACCAACTCCCCCTATTCTCTGAGTTCCTTCAATATTTGCCTTGCCCGAGCGCCTCCAAACTCCTTTAACACTCCCTCATCATCTTCGGCTGTCACTCTTCCCATCTAGCCACTCTACATATTCATCATCGCTATCATGGAAAGCTGTATCACGTTTAATTGGGAAGTTTTCACTATATATACAGTGCTTGGCTCTAACCTTGTCTTCGCATGACACCAAATCCCCTCTGTCTCGGTTACAATGTCCGCAATTTTTAAGCAGATTCGGAACTGTCTGCAGAGGGCTGATAATTTGCGTGAAAGCATAGGATACACCTTGAAGTATTTGAAAGCGTCACATGCGGCAATCCTCCGTTTCGTTTGTTCATTATCCTCAATGGCGCGGTGATGTTCCTCTGGGTGTCATTGTAAATCTTGTATTGGTGCATTGTGAAAAGCAGTCTTCCAGGGACTGCTGTCCAGAGAAGGAAGGACCGCGTTCATTTGTATTTTGTTCTGATGTGTCGATCATTAGGGTTAGTGGTGACCACTGTCAGAAGAATGTAGGAGTCAGTAGATCTGAAAAAGCATACTCATAGATTATCTTTCTCATTTGTACCAGTATATCTTACTGCTTCTCAGGATACCCCATCTTCGCCTCATCTTCCGCAGTTCCAAATCCTCCCCAGCCCTCAAATTCATCAGCAAACTTGACTGCCGCGCGGAGCCAGTGGTCCGATCGGTTGTCTCCAGTCTCCCATGTTTCCTCCGCTACCTTCAAGGCCCTCAATGCTGTAAATATCAGTCAAAATGTCCATGTTATAGCGTAAGGTCCACGACATACCCTTGACATGATGCGCATCAGTCGAATGCGGGCCGTTCAATGCCTTGTCTACAACATACTTCCAGCCCTTCTTCTCACTGCCATCGTTACACATAGCTTTACCCATATCGATCTCCGGCCTCATCTGGGCAATGTACACAGCTAATGCGAATAGCCACCATTGCCGCAGAAGACTAACATGGAACTTGGCCGGTACCAAGGGGAGGAGGATGCGAATGGCATGAGAGCTTGTAAGCACATGCACGATGAAGAAATCGTACTTCCCCTTCGCCGGTAACGGTGTGCCTGTCAAAAGCCCCAATCCGACTTCTTGAGCAGCCTGGAACTGTTCGTTCGGTGTTGTAATTTCCCAGGCATTCCAGTATTCCAAAAAGGCTTCTTCGCGCTCCTCTAACACCTTGGTAATATCACCGCTGCGGTGATCATAAAGGCCGTCGAAGCGCTTGTCCTTGCGCACTTTGTCCAGGATATCGATGAGCCCGGTGTGATCTCCACTTGCGCTATGAGGGCTGGGCTTTGTATACCTCGGGTCGTCGATGTATTTATGAAGGGGACTGTAAAAGCAGGAGCCCATAGCCAGAGCCTCGATCGAGACAGTTCTGGAGTTCAGTTCGTAAGCGTAGCCAAGATGGATGAGAGGATGTGCAACTGGATGGTGTTAGCGATGCTCAAACTTCGAAAGCCAGCAAGCCTACGTCCGGAGATGAGGCCATTGATCAGCGGCTCCTTTCCCCTGAACATGAACTCCTCGAGCACTTCTTCGACATTGTACTTCTTGCTCACGAGCTGATCTTCGAAGAAATCGATAAATGCGCGTTGGTATCTGGCTGCTGTTGGTAATTGATTCCATCTCATCGTCGTCACTACTCACTCGCGCTTCCCCAGAAATTCGCGCCAATCGTCTTTTGTTATTTCACCTGGCGCGTCATGCCATGGCTCTAGTACTTCAGCCTCCTTCTCGTAGATTTCATTCAGATGTTCTGCCGTGCCTCCGAGAAGGTAAGCCGATCCTAAGATCTAGGGTATTTGCTTAGCAGCTACAGCCTTTACAGGAGGAGCAGCATACGTGCGGTGTATGGTTGTGAAAAGTAAGATTGTGGTATATAATCGAGTAGTTCGCGTGATTTGCTTTGAGTAGATGCTTGAGAGTTCGCGGTCGCTTTTCCGCCGAGGTTTCGATATCATGGATCTTCACAGAGGGCAGATCGACAGTGAGATGCGTGCCTTCGCCTGCACGAAGAAAAGATGGCAACGATATTCTTGGTAAGCTGAACATTGTTTCTGTGTGATTGCAAAACTCAAGAGAGTTTGCGGGGAAGATGCGCAATGAGAGCTCGCGTCGCGCCTTCCTCGTTCTGGTATGACGTGATGCCCTCGGTGCCGCTCGCAAGCTTAACCCAATCAGGACGAGCAGAACCTCGAAGCGACTCCACAATGCTTCCATCCTAGCTGCTCATTCTACCTTTCGAATATAAGTATGCTTGATGGCGAATATTGACTTAGGCAATCATAGTTAAGTATCTATTGATAGGGGAAAAAGTTACTGAAGATTTACATTTACACTTCTTTCTGGTGAGATAAACGATTTCCGCCTTCATGCATTTACTGCTTTTCATGGAATGGATGGTGTTCTCACTTTAATACTCCACTGGTAGGGGTTGGTGAAGTGTTAATTGCTATGGTACTCAACTTTGAATGAGGAAAGAAGGACAGCTTCATACAGATTGCGCTCTTATATCTTCGGTCTTTGCCACACGGTGCGTATCTGTTGACTTATCTCCTTGTACTTAAGATATCCCAGAGTTGTTCAAACTTCTCCAAACCTCCATTCTACTAGCGCAAAATATAGCAAGTATATGCAGATTAATCCTTTGAGAAGCTTAGAAAAAGCAATCTTTTACATAGTCACTCGCCTCATCCCACATCTACAACTTCGCCACCTCCCTCACCTCCAGCATTCCTTCCATTGTCTCCTTCCACACTTCCGCCGCCTCAGCACTAATAGCATTCAAATCATAGCTAACCCCAAACCCAATGATACCCTCCGCACTAGTCGAACTTCCAACCAGGAACTCATTCTCCCGTGCCCTGACCCCGATATTCACGTCTCGGAAGTCCGCCGCAAAGTCTTTGTCCCCTAGGTCCTTCAAATCATATGTTCCGCGTTTGAAAAATGTAGCCAGAGGGCCGATGGACGAGACTCCGCACGTCGCTCCATAGCCAGCTGTACTGGGAGCTAGGGAGCCTTGCGGGTTCTGGAAAGAGGGTGAACGACGTTCTGGTGGTAGTTTTGCTTCGACACGCTCAATCTGTGTGACGTAGCCGGTCGCGAGAAGACGGCCTGGTGAGTGTTTGTCAAGAATACCCGCCGTACCTGTCGTCCCCTTTCCTTTCAAGCGTTTTTGGTAGACTCGCAGTTCGCGATTGGCGTGCTTTGCTGTTAGTTTGAACCTTCCTTCTACTGGTAGATCCGAAGACAAGAAAGGCATTACTATACCTTCGCTGAAGGCTAGCATGCATGAATCTGCCGGTGGCGGGTTCACGAAGAAGCCGCGTGGGTTTAGTGGAAACGATGCTGTGAATGGCGGGTGACTGTCTGAAGGAGAACGTTTTTCGTGGATTGACATCATGCCTAGACCGGCAAGAGCGAAACACCCGGCTCCTATACTGACGTTTGCAGATCGGCATAGTGATATAAGACGTGCTGAAGCTGCAGCTGAAAGCGATGCGGAGACATGACCACATGACATCGGAGGGCGAGCTGAAGGGCTATAGTCGAAGACTCTATCGAACTTAGGTTCTAGTCGTAATGGTTCATCAAGCCTCTTTTCTCTCCGTAGCGGATTTGTGAATGTAGGTGGTAGTCCTCCTTTCTTCACATGTCTCAGCACTCTGATGAGCGCCCAAAACCAACGCTGTCTCGCCCTGTTGCCTGCAATGGGTGGGTATAGGTCTTCTTGGGCGGCTGGTAAGACTTCCTTGATCTTCTCTGATGTACAGACAGACTCGATCTCTGCTAAGATGTTCTGAGACGGCTGGTTTATAATGCGAAGAAAGTGGCTAAACCAATTGTACGCCGAGAGACCATCGGAGATCTGGTGTGCAATCACAATGAGCAATCTCAGCTCATACGTCCCGTTTGGAAGCTTCCGCAAAGGTAGCACATGCAACTTCGATAAGCATTTTGTAGGCTCGACAATGCGAGTCACGTTGTAGGCGTGACGGTATAATTCTTTCTCATCAACTTCGTCATATGCGTCTTCGATCCAGATAATGCTCTGCTCGACTTGTTCGATTGCAAAATCAGAGGAAATGGGTACGTCAACGGCGAAACCCCGTTTTCCACTTTCTTGGTTATCAACAACCCGAGCCATAAGCAGAGGATGTTGAAGCCGCAAAGCGGTCCACGCGAGCGCTATCCTATGTCTCAATTCTGTCTTTGAGAGCTTGTGCTGGATTGCCAATGTATAGAGGGCCGTCATATCTGTAGCATGATTAGTCGCTTTCAATAATAGTTGACCTAGTGAGTAGGTCTAGAGCATCTCGCGCTCTTGTACATATAGTGTATAGCCGCGAAGAACGAGTGGGATCTTTAGGCTGATGTTGGACCCAGACGAAAATACTGAGAGATCCTGCATACCTGCCCGGCCACCGTAGTACGTGCCATCTGAGTCGAATGAAGTCTCCACTAGCCCAAGCGGACGGTTGAATAGCTGCATGCCATCTGTACTATCAGACAGTTTCCATTCTGCATAGTTCGTTGCGTATTTGTCCAGCCAATGACCCTGCTCTTGCGTCTGTGGTTCCATTACGCTTCTTAGCTATTCAATCTCAATGCAGTTGTTGCTGTTTGCCACTTCTGAGAGGTGAACGATGAGAGATGTTGGCAAGAAAAAGGAATAGGCAAATGTATTGAGAACCATAAAAGATAGAAAGGCTAAATTGCGAAGGATGCCAGACAAGCGGAGTCGGAGTGACCACCAGGTTGTTAGACGAGCTCCTCGGATAGGCCCACTTAGGTCATCGACAGACAGTCGCCGAGGTAGCGTCATTCCTAAGATGGTTAGTGTTTAATTGATTCTCGAGCTATAACTGAAATTGCGACCTAATTGTATATTCTGTTACTTTTCTAATCTAGTCGTGGCATGCATCACTGTGTATAGCTCAAGGGCACAAATTCAGTAGCAGGTACTGTTCGTGAGAACAAGCTTCTTCGTATCTGAATAGATGCTGTATACGCATGAACAGTTTTGGACAATTTACCCTAAAGGTATCCCCAGTGTATTATTTGAACAGGTTAACAGAACGCAAAATGATATACACTTTTGCCGGGTATCTAAATCACACAGCAACGTTGTGTGGTCTCCTAAACTACGTCCTCCATTTCATCCTCTCCCTCGGTATCTCCATCACCCGGGCCCTCAGGTGCAGCTGCCTCCGCTTGTTTACTAGTGTCTCGCTGGTTATCGAATACAGCCTGGCGCTTCCAGTTGCTCGCAAACGGCCCAGATTTGACGAGGAGCGCAATGTCGCCAAGAACTTCCTTGAGGTACTGCTCCGGCTGCTTGGTCCGTTGCTTGATGGCCTTCATAGGCCAGTACTGGTACTCGTCGAACAACTGGTGAAGTACATCGATAAGGTCGGAACGAGCCATACGAGCAGCCTTGTTCTGTTGCGATTTCGCCTTGGTCGTAGGCTTGATGAAGTTCTTGAAGCGGTTGTTGAGTGTAATGGAGTTGTTGACGTCTGAGACTTCGGTGTCTTTTGTGATGATGGTGGTTGTGTGGGAGCCTTGAATGGCTTGCTTGATGCGCGCGGCGCTAAAGTCCTTGAATTCTTTGGTCTCGAGAGGGTTCGCGTTGTATTGTCGTGTCGCGTGACCGATAAGCGCAGTCTGCTTGGGAATGGCCTTCTTGTATTTGCTTCGTTTCTGAACACGCGCATTCGGATCTTGTACACCACCGAAGCTTCCCTGTTGGCCTCTGCCATAGCCGTAGCCTTGTTGTCCCTTGAATCCCGGCAGATCTTTCTCTGTAAACACGTATGTGTTGCCTAGCTGAACATCCGAGGCAGCTGCAGGGTCCAACTGGAAAGCCGAGGGAAGGTTGGACTTTGCGCGCCAACGGTCGTTGAGGAAGACGCGCATAGGCTTGTCCTTGTCGATGCCGCTCGTTGTCGCGAAAGCGCACACCTCTCCGATCTGAATCTGGTCGTTGTCGTTGCCGTCGGCAATGTCTTCCCACTTGGAGACTGCCTCGTAGAGCCAGTCTGGAATGCGCGTGAGCCAGACGTCTTGCTGTGGGTTGTCCTTGTTGATGGACATCTCGCCCGTATCCTCGTAGAAGTCATCGTCCATAAACCCGACTCCAGGCTCTTCCTTGACCTCTGGCTTAATGCCGTTCATGATTGCGGATGCGACGAAGTTGCGTTACGGCAGGAGTGCGAGGTGTCCACGTTGTGGTCGGCGCAGCGTGTGCGTGGTAGCTGATGATGATAGTAATAGAAGCTTAAGCGTGTGCCCTACGAAGAATGTGCCAGTGGTAGCGAGGTGGCTCAGCGAGCGTGAACCTTGGTTGCAATGATGAAAGACATCGGATCGTCTCAGGCAGGCGCATTGTACCTCCCGACGCGCTTCCGCACTAGCGCGCCAAGCCTCTTATCGATAATGCAGCTCTGGTGAGGTCGCGCTTGCCCCACGTCTGTTGCCTATACCCGTCAACAACCAACGAGCAGGACCGACTTTCTCCTTCTTGTAGCCCCAGAATCCGACGTTTTCTTCGGCAATTCTAATTCCCTTCTTACATGGGATCTCGAATTCAACCAAACTGAACTAAAAGGGTTTTCTTTACAATACAGCTTACCTAAGCTTCCCCATCATGGCTTCCCCAGCTGTCACCTCCGCTTTACAGCAGATCGAGGCAACATCGGCCAGCGAAAAGCCCTCCCAGTATACCGCCCTCCTCCAACAGATAGTCGAAACATCGAACAATGTTGCCGCTGACTTGAACGCATACGCACAAACTCTCCTTGACGACTCTCTTGGCATAGTAGTCCTCCGACCACTTCTTGCTGCTTTCGTGGACGCTTACCGGACGGTCAAAGACCCAGATGCTAAGATTGATGTTGGAGAGAAAGTTATCACGCTCCTGCAATCCAAGGGCGCGGGGCAGTACGAGGAACAAGATACACAAATCAAGCATGCCCTGGCAGACGCGTTCGAACAAAACGACGATTTCAGGCGGTCTGCGCAGACACTTGCAACCATAAACCTCGAGTCGACACAAAAGTCAGTTTCTGCGGACGATAAGGCGAAAGTTTGGATTCGAATAGTGCGGTGTTACTTGGAGGAAGATGATCCGACAAGCGCATTCACACACCTGAACAAGATCAAGAACATCATATTCAACGTGCAGGACAAGGCAACCAAGGTCATGTTTCAGCTGAGTCAAGCCCGAATCCTTGACTCGCAACGATCCTTCCTCGATGCCGCGCAGGGATACTACACCTTGAGCAACGAGCCGCTAGTCGACACTGAGGAACGGGACGGCTTTCTCGGTAGAGCTATTATCTGTACGGTCCTCGCTCCTGCCGGTCCACAGCGAGGCAAGATGTTGGCCAAGCTATACAAAGATGACCGAGCTAGTTCTGCTGAAGACTACGCCATCCTCGAGAAGATCTTCTTGAATCGTCTCCTTACACCCGCTGAGATCAAGGCCTTTTCCGCTAAGCTCGATCCTCACCACCTTGCCCGAGGCGCCGACGGCCTGACTGTGCTTGACAAGGCCATTCTCGAACATAACTTGCTCGGCGCATCGAAGCTCTACAACAACATTGGATTTGATCAATTGGGCGAACTGTTGGGTATAGACGCGGAGAAGGCAGAAGACTATGCGGCGAAGATGCTGGAGCAAGGACGACTTGCCGGATACATTGACCAAATCGACCGATACGTCTTCTTCGAGGGCGAGGCCAGTGGCGAACGCAAGACTGGACATGCAGAGCGCGTTGTAGGCAAGGAGCTACGAAAGTGGGATACCAATGTCACTGGTCTGGCAGAGGAGGTGGAGAAAGTCACTTCGATGATCCAGAACCAATATCCTGACTTCTATGCGTCGCAGGTAGTGCACTAGCATGGAATCAGTGCATCCAGCAGCGAATCGACGAGGAGCGGATAGTGCATAAACGGCGTCAAGGGATCGCATATACCCAGTGTACACTTAGACATGATGAATACGAGCATAAGAGCCTAAGACGTCGTTCTGATTCCAAACAGATTGCGTTGGTCTGACAACTCTGCGGCCAGCGTGCTCATGGTATCGACACATATATGATACATTCGAAAGACTCATGACAAGACATTGCTAATTCCCACAATGCCACAGCTATTGTACATTCTTCTTCTCCTCTTGCCCCAATGCCGCCTCGTACTCCTCCAAACTCTTGACCTCCAAATCACTGATCTTCAAGACGGTGAAATGCAGTTTGCTCTTGACATGTTTGGTGTGTCTTTGCCTCCTCTTGGTCTTCTCCTCTATTCTCAATGGTTCGCTCTCCACACCCACAACCCGCGCTCTGCACGTGAATAACCGCTCATCTAGGTAGTACACCTTCTTTGCATGGTCTGCGTTTCCTTTGACAGACTCGGGCGCTTTTAATGTGTAGTCTCGCGATCCAATGTGTGTAGCGCGGTTCAAGCGCAGAATGTCGCCGGGGCGTACATGTGGCATTTGGAAGGGGAGGCGAAGTGTGTCGCCGCGAGTCAGGAGATATGGACGGCCATGGAGATGTGCGGTTATGTAGTGTGCTGGCTGGGTCTGTAGAAGAGGGAGGAGCTTGCGGATGGAGGGTGTGAGGGTTTGCGAGAGGATGTCTGAGCGGGCGTGTGGTGAGGCTTTGACATGGTTTGAGGAGGCGGGCGTAGGGGCATCGCTGGGGAGAGGCTGTGGTGTTTGAGCGCGCTCTTTGGCTTCGTCTGATATGCGGTGGCCGGATTGGATGAGCGGTTCGGGGGTATTTGATGTGTCGAGGTTGTGCGATACGGTTGTTATTCCTGCGCGGCGGATGGTCGGTTGGACTATCGCCCTGGACTCGAGGAACGCATGGCGTGCGGAGCGAGCGAATAGAGCCATTACTGGGGTTGGTGGGACGCAATGGCTTGGGGGCTGCTGCAAACAGTATCTCTGGTCATGCGGCGGAGGTCCGATGTTGAAGAATCCAGCCCGCATCGCGCTAGTGGGGGCTAGTGCCGAACTTTTTTGGAGGCGGAAGGCGCTGCTGTAAGAGACTCCACTCTACCACCACTACCCTTACCATCCAGCACACGCAGAGGTAGTCGCCATGCCTCAGAACGAGTATATCGAGCGCTTCACGAAGCAGTATGTCTACACCCATCGTGCATCCTGCACCCCACCACCAGCGGCTCGCGCCTCAGTGCCAAGAACACTCCACTAACTCTGTCGCAACAGGCACGGAAAGCGCTTCGATCACGATGAGCGCCAACGCAAGAAGATCGCCCGTGAAGGACACAATGCATCCAAGAAGGCGCAAAACTTCCGTGGTCTGAGGGCCAAGTTGTACGCCGAGAAGCGCAGGAAGGAGAAGATTCAGATGAAGCAGAAGATCCGCGCACACGAGGAGCGCAACGTCAAATCCAACGAAGCACCCGAGCCAGCCACCGATGCGCTCCCCGCATATCTGCTGGACCGCAGCAACGAGAAGAATGCCAAGGCTCTCTCTTCCGCCATCAAGCAGAAGCGTAATGAAAAGGCAGCTCGGTTCTCGGTTCCCCTGCCCAAGGTCAAGGGTATTTCCGAGGAGGAAATGTTCTCGGTTGTCAAGACGGGAAAGAAGACGAAGAAGAAGAGCTGGAAGCGTATGATCACCAAGCCTACTTTCGTCGGTCCTGGCTTCACGCGTAGACCTGTCAAGTACGAGCGCTTCATCAGGCCCATGGGATTGCGTTACAAGAAGGCCAACGTGACACATCCTGAACTGAACGTTACGGTCCAGTTGCCGATCATGTATGTGTCCTCACACAGTAACGACAGGCGAGCATAGCTAACCTTCCACAGCTCCGTAAAGAAGAACCCTCAGCAACCCATGTACACGCAGTTGGGTGTTCTGACCAAGGGTACCATCATCGAAGTAAACGTTTCGGAACTTGGTCTCGTAACTGCTGGAGGAAAGGTCGTTTGGGGTCGCTATGCACAAATCACCAACAACCCCGAGAACGACGGTTGCTTGAACGCCGTTCTCCTCGTCTAAGCTTCTGGAAAAAATTGCATTTGACGGCGTTAATTGGTCATCTGAATATTCCATTCCGAAGGCGTTGCGGCGATTACGAGCATGAGGTTGGGATTTGCTAGGCAGGAAAGAAGGGCGGCTAGCCGATGATGCAACTGTGCCTTTTATGTTGGACAGATACGGAATGTAACCAAAAACAATAATGACACCACATCAACCAACATGCCATGAGTTCCCATCATTCCTGCTTATAGACTATCGCGGTGCACCAAAGAAAAAAAAGAGTCCGTTGCAACATGAATCAGATAGTCATGCAGTACACTAGTAATCTATATTTGCTAAACACCGTTCCCATATGCCCGCCCAATCCGTGGTATCTTCCATTCCCAGCCCATGCCATGCCATCTCTGCGAAACAAAACAAAACAAAACGCCGACCAAAAAAGGCCATTACCTCCCATAAAGCAAGCTTAGACATCTACAGTATTCCCGTCACACAACAACACCGCTCAAATCAACATGTCGCCTCTGTCTCTGCACATCGCCAGCCAGAACTCGGCCGTCAGCATCCAGCGCACCATCGCCTACCCAATCTGTGACAATATCTTCCTGATGCTCGTCATCGAAACTGCCCCGCCTGCCCGTCTTATCCGCCCAACCCGTACGTTCGAGTTCGATAATACCGCCAAACCGTCTCTCTCCGTTAGCAATAAACAGAGACTGCCCATCAGGCGTAAACGAGACACCACCCGCGGGGCCAAAGAAGTCGAAGACCTGTTTTGACTCCCATGTCTGTGCATTAATAATATTGATAAAATCATCCGCTTCAGCTGCAACGAGAACACGGGGTCCAGAGCCAATGGGTGAGAAATGCAGAGACCGTGGGACACTCAGTTCGCTCTTCATGACGGCCAATGGCTTCTCCCAGTACCGCGCGTCCCAGACGACAATGGTGGAATCTTGGGCGGCGGTTGCGACGTGGATGCCGTCGTCTGCCCAGGCACAGGCGAAAGCGTCGTCGGTGTGGGAATTCAATGTTTCGAATGCTTGGCCTGTTTCTGCGTTTGTGATGAGCGTTTCTTGGAAGTCGCCAACTACTACACGCATGCGGCCGTTTGGGCTCGTTGCTGAGCAGTTAACTGCTGCTGGGTATTGGAATGAGTGAATGAGCGTGTTGGTTCCGCAGTCTAGGACGCGGAGGTGGTGGTCGTTAGAACATAGGACGGCTTGGGGGGTGTAAGTCCGGCGTGAGGAGAACAGATGCATGTGATTGACTATCCGCGACTTTGTGTCTGTTGCAAAGTCCGAGGTGCGACCGAAGGTATAGGCCGAGCCTTGGGTGGAAGCAAGATTTGCGATGGCGTACTCGCCTTCAAAAGCGCCGGCAATAAGTACATCGCCGTGTGATGCAATGGTGGTTATTGATGCATCAGGAGCTAGATGTTTGCTGAGATCTGCGACAACATCTTCGGGCACACCTTCAGCGTCTGTGTGGAGTACCTGGTGACCTTTGGCATAATAGACATCGTTGCGGGATGTAGCTGTCACTATGTTTCGCAGCTGGAAGTGAGGTACGAAGGCACGGGGCTTGGTGTTGATCCTTCGAAACTGGAAGAAGCTGTCTGTGTTGGGTGTTGAATGGATATACTTCCGAACTGCTTTGACGCTATGTAGCACTCTTTGACGCTCGTGCTGAGATCGCGCCTTACGAACCGCTGCACGTGTAGTCTATCAAACTGTTAGCTGAAAGATTCCTTGCTTTTTGCATATGCATAGGCAGAAGACTGCTAGACGCTGTCTCGCAGCTGCCGATGTAGACATCAGAATGTGAGAACGTACGTTGCGTTTCGTCCAGTCGATGCCCTGGTAGTCATATTCGTCGCCCTTCAGGTCGTCCCGACTAATAAAATCCGGCACCTGCACGAGGTCCAGACCAGGAACGACGGGCTTGAAATGTCCAAAGAAACGATGGAAGTAAGAAGTGATGGGACAAAAAGCTGCCCTATCCTGGATGCTCAGATGCGGCTCATTGAGCGTGGGTGGCGGCTCGAGCAATGGATCAGCACCATATGGCAGGTGTATTGTTTGGGCCCCTATAGCCATTGGCGCGGCGATGTATGCGGTGGATGTGTGCAGGTGGTGAGGGATGCTGGATGTTTGATCAAACATGTCGATAGCGTTGTATGTAATATATGACGGGTGAATTGGGCCAAACATGTCTTCAATCGTGCCTCCTTCATCCAGTGATGGGTCTTCATCGTCGATGTTTCCCTCTCCTGCTCCATGTGACCCGGGCATGGTCTCCATAAACTGCTGGTAGTCTTCTAGCGATATCCCCCCGCCATCGTCATCGTCGTCCTCCACCTCGTCATCGTCATCGCCGTCGTCGTCGGCCGGTCTGCCGTCAGAGAGAGTCGCAAGAGTTACAGCAGCAGCCAATGCGCTGGGCGAGTGCGGCCAGTCTCCATGGTCCGGATGCGATTGCGACGGCGGCGCTGTGAGATGCGGTGTCGTCGAGTGTGGCGCGGACCAGTTGTGCATGCTGGCCATCGACGCCCGCTATCCGTCTGATAATCAGTGCAGCGGGGCCGCCGAGGCAGGGTTTTGTCGTTTGTGCGTATGCGACGAGACGGTCGACTGATGTAGTTGTAGAGAGGCGTTGCGGCGCAAGGTATAGGCTTGTCTGGCGTGGGGGGGAAAGGTGACTAGGCCAAAGCATAGGCTCGGCGCGGCGAGACAGGCAGAATACAGCAAATATGTAGCGGCTGACGGGCTAGTACCGTCGCGTCGCAGGCTGACTAGGTCGCCTCTCTGCACTCGATCTGTCTGTCAACTACCCGAGGCGCTGCATGCGAAGGAAGACACGTCCTGGCTAAATGTGGGGTCGCTCCTGCCAGAGCCCTAGATGGGCATTGGTTGCGGGAGAGTTGGGCTGGGCTGCAGGGCAAGCAGGTCAGTTCCCGTGATGATTATGGATATGGCTATGTGCGTCGAACGGCTCCTGGAACCTACACTTCCGTCAGATATATACGCCGTCTGTGAAGCCCGCCGAATATCCGTATCCCATCCTCCGCGGGCCCTCTAGTTTAGACTGAACATGGGGGGATCGGACAGCCACCCACCCCCAAGCCTAACTAGCGACTCGACCATCTCAGAGATCTCCAGACATTAGATCTGTGTATTCACGCTGCTCATCTTCACGCTGTCACCAGGGCGCTCAGGGTTAAGCGGCCATGGCGTGCCCACGGACAGTGACACAACTCACATGGCACTGCCAACACGACAACCTTCTGGAGCCAAGACCCGACAACGAGAATGCAGTGGCCACTCAACGTCAGACATCCAGGCCCACACCTGCTCTTGTCAGGCCCTTTTTGGGACACAGACAGCACACCAGCTTCGCTAAGCTCATCGTCTGGGGCCAAAAGGTGACGCGCTGAGCGCTGGCCCATAGTTGCACGGCGAATTGGTGGAACAAATCAAACGTCTTTCCCCACCGCGCCTCCCCAGACTGTGGCTCAAATGCCGTTCTTGTCTCTCCTAGCCGTCCCGCCTCTGGACAACGGTGCTGGCACTCCACGACAGTAAGCCACTGATCGCTCCAGGGAAATGCCGTCGATTCAGGGCCCATCTTACGCAGACACTGGAAGCACAAGACACATCTTGAGACTGTAAAACGATACAGGAACAAAGATGCGAGATCATTCACCTCAGTACTGTTTGATCATAACATGCCGAGTCTCGCGAGAGCTGACAGCATGCGGTAAGGATGTATTACTAGAGCGAGATGCCTATGTGACCCCGACAGTGAAGTAAAAATTCTACAAACTCATAATAATGACAGAAATGGCCTGCTAAAACGGACATCGTAGCAATGCAGCAAATCATGTAGTACAGATGCAGTCCTTCCTACACGACGCCACAATGCGAAACTAATTATCATAATACTGGTCGTAACCCTGTTGTTGTTGGTGCTGTGGCCATCCACCAGCCGATGTCGCCGCTGGTGTCTTGAGTCTCCGTTCTGTTGGTGCCCAACATTAGTGACAGCATTATCGCGAGAAGTTGTGTTCCTTACCTGCTTCAAAATCATGCCACCTGCGCATCGTGATTTTGCTACTGTCGAATTCTCCTTCATACTCCAGGCCTGCCTTTTTCGTCTTTTCGCCCGCTGTCTTTCGAGTATCTCCCCAGCTGAAGTCGTCAAACTTCCAGAACGCATATGTCGGAAGCACAAAGTTCCAAACAGGCAATGACAGCAGATAGACGAACATCCAAGCGACGTAAGACCACCGATGGGCCGTTACGATGATGAGAATGGCGGGTAGACCAAGAATGAGCGCTAACAGGATGAGGGGTATGACGGGAGCTTCTGTGTGGAGAACAGCGGCTTTGATAGCGATGGCAACTAGACGTGGTCAGCAAAGCCAAAACTTCGTAGTGGAGTACGGGGGCTTACTTAGGTAGAATGTGAAAGCAATGGCGGCTGGGAGAACCAGGGTTCCGATCAACTCGATGAACACAACGAACTGCATGCTGAAGCAGAAGGTGCCACACAGATCTCGCACTAGCACAAGCTCCATCAGGTTGTGGACCGTACTATTAATCCATCGTCTGCGCTGTGACAGCAGAACTTTGAACTCGTCCGGTACAACGGTTTTGCAAACGGCTTGCGGGACGAAAACCTGTTTTCGCTTGGGGAACGTTTTGAGCATCAACGTCGACAGGTATCGATCCTCACCCAGTAGTAGCAGATTCTTCTTGTGCAGCGTATCAACCACGTTCTCAGAGTAGTGCTCAACAACATCCGGGTTAGCCAGGATCGGGACCCAGTAGTTCTGACCACCCTTGGGAGCCTTGATGCGGTACATGCAGAAACAACCCGGCAAGCAAGTAACACCACCAAAGACTGATTCGAATGACTTGGCCAAGTGATGGGAGATGAAGTATCTATCACAATTAGTGGCGCGATTGTAAAACGTGGCGACAGCACTTACTCAAACACCTGGATCATGGAGACCCACGAATCCCGCTTATTGGCAATCTTCGTTTCGCCGCAGAGCCCCATGATATCTGGATCCTTTACCATGGCTGAGACCATGTGCGTCAAGCTGTCAGGGAAAACCTTTGTGTCGGCGTCGACCATGAGTACTATCTCGTAGAAATCGGGAGAAATGCCAGTGATCTTCCAGATACCGTTAAACATTTCGAATTCAAGCTCCGTCATACGCTCGTCAAACATGACCTTTTGCAGGAATGACATGAGGATGATCTGACTGTCTCGCTTTCCACGATTGCCGGGCTTCGATTTTTTGGCCTCATCGGGTGTACCACACTTCACGACTAGCAACACGGGAACACGTTGTTGCTTCTCGACAGGAATGCGGGTCGTCTCGCCATAGTCGTAGAATCCCGAGTAGATCTTGGCCATGTTGTGTCGTTTCGAACCACTAGCGACTGCGACGTATGAATGCGCCTGGACCTCGTGGGGCAATACCGCGTGATCCTTCATCATACCAAGACAGACCTCTGGTGTTGTCAAATCTTCTCCGTGACCCTTGATCATACCGTCGCAAATAATGAGAATCAACTTGTGGCTGTTGGGGTAGTCTGTGGTAGCAATGGAGTCGAGTGTAGTTCGCAGTCCGTCGGGACCTTCAGAGTACGCGGTAACAAGACAGATGGTGTGCGCCAAGGGGTATCCAAAAGGTTGCCATTCTGGTGGAGGTTGAGGTACAACAGCTTCGTGTGTGAAACCTGCGGGTCCGGAGCCTTCGACACTTGAGTAGCGGTTGGTGTCGGTCTGCCCAGAAAGAAGCAGACTAGACCGAGACTCTTGTGCTGAGAACTGCGCATTGTGCTTTCCGTCCAAGGGCATGGTGCCTTGGCTGGCATTCAGTTGCTTGTACATACCACTGTTCGATCCCAGGATGCGAGATGCCGTGCTCTGGCTCGTCATAGTCGTCGGTGGGGCACGGGTCTTTGCGTTCTTGTCAACCGCGTAAGGGCTCGTAAACCTCGAAGTCTGTGGCAGGAAAGTACTGCCACGCTTGTTGCTGCGGTCAGAGCCCGAAGATGGATCCATGAGTTTTGGTGGCGGGCGATAGATATCGTCACTCCACTCTTCGATCTGTTGCTTTCGCAGCTTGGAGTCCGCGGGAGAAATGGATGTGTTGGTAGCAGCAAACTTTTTGCAGATGAACCACTGGAAGAGAAGGGCGAGGACGAACTTGGCCATGACAACAGCCAAGATGAAGACGAGCGACACATAGAGGACGACCTTGGAAGCAATGCAGCCAATGCTTTCTGTATCGATGGAGCCGACTTTGATGGTTTCGGTAAAGCAACGAGCTACCTGCTTCTCATAGCTGGATGAGTACGCACGGGTAACGTCTACGCCACGAACAGAGGGATTCTGACGAATCTCATCGAACAGAGGTGGAATATTAACCTGGGTCCGGTTGAACCAGTCGAGCAAGTTCAGGTCCAATACATCACCACCCCATACCATGAGGTTCCTAGAAGTGTTGCGAATGTCATCCCAGGTAAAGTACACGTCGCCGGCGTTTCGCAGACCGTAGAAGGCTCTACGAGCGTTGTCCGAGGTATGACACTGGTAACCGTTGTACTCCAAGAAGGTCGTGTTGGGCTTGGTCGATCCGTCCTGGTTGAACAGACGGCACGGGAAGTACCATCCCAGATCACCATTACCACTTGTGGGAATGCCAGAGTTCTCCTTTTCAGTGATGAGTCCTTTGCAAGCTCCATTGACATTCTGGAACAAGAAGCTAGCGTCTTTACCGCCGTTCTTCTCTGGAAGATCGAAGAGAACGTTTGCGTCTTGGGGGATGCCGCGAGCGCGAGGGTGCTTAGACTGTGCGAGATCGTAGGCTTTGCCGTGAATGATCAGGTATCCACCTCCGACCTCGTTTGTCCTAAGGCGAGCATTGCCGCCAGATGGGCACACAGTCTCCGTAAAACCGAATGTGAGGTATCCAACGAACGTGCAGATAAGTAAGATGATGCTGACTAGTCCCACCTTCTCTCTCCATGCTCGCTGCTGCGCCTTCTGCGGCTTTCCAAAGCACTTCAAGATGGCATTCGGACACCAGAAAGTAACGATAGCGCAGTAGACGTTCCACAGACTAGGTGGTCGTAGCTTGTCCTGCTCCTTCTGACGCTGCTTCTCACGTGCTTCCATTGTCTTGCTCGTCAGCTTGCGTTGTATCCGTGGCTCCCCGTCGTCCATCGGAGCTTGCTTGTCGTTGTACCCTCCGCCGGAGACATTTCGCATGTGCGGGGGCTTGATGTCAGTGCTGTCTGAGCTGACAGTCTCTGCCTCGAGGTGGTCTTCTAGAATAGGGTCGTTACCCGTCGTCGATGGGTGGACGTCCATGCGCTGGGCATGTTTGCGGTAGTGATAGTTCGGATGGCTCGGGTCCATTCGCTGGCGTTCAGGTCGGATAAGACTGCGCTTCCTGTTCAACTCGGGCTCGGATGGCTTCGGTTGGCCTCTCATTATGGGATCGCGCTCCATAGGC